CCTAACTATATAGACGGTCATCCACAATGTTAAAGTTTATGAGCACTAAAAATAGCCCAAGAGCTTTCCATAACATTCCTCTCTGCCAATCGGTATCCCCATTTGTATTTGCTCTTTGGCATTTGTCCTCCTCAATCATCTTAACCCTGTGCACTGAAAACACTGCATGAATCTCTGTACATTAGGGAGTTAAAGAGCCAATTAGATGTTAATAAGACCAATATAATGAAATATTCTAGAGAAAATGTTAAAACATATATAGACTATAGAAAACCAGGTAGATATGATGGCTCATAGCAACCAGCACCCGCTGTGAACAATAAGAGCTGACTGAAATATTAGGTAAATAAAAAAAAAAAATACAAAAATGGCAAGAGGTCACTTTAAAGCAGTGGTTCCCGAAGATTTTCTTCTGGGCCCCCCTTTGGATTACAATAAATCCCCCCCCCCCCCCAAAAAAAAAAAATCAACTGGGCACACACATCCTTATACCAGATATAATAATAAGTATATGAGAAGAGGATTCTTAGTTGTCGGTGTTATTTTAAACATATTTCTTTTTTTTTATTTGTAACAATATTTAACTTTGCTATCATCAATACATTAAAAAAGCCTGAAAATGGAGTGAAAACATTGAACAGCTCCCTGAGAGTTTCTTCTTTGTACTTTAATCCTCCCATCTTTTCAGTGGCTGTAGTGAGCCTGCTTGTTGCTGCAGATCTTCTCAAATCTGGGTTGCAGTGTCACAACTGTCCATTATGCTCAGTCAAGCAAGCAGTTTTTTTTTTTCCTTCATTTATCCATACCGCTTCCTGCGCCCCCCCTGCAATGGCATTGCGCCCCCCCTAGGGGGCGCGCCCCACACTTTGGGAACCACTGCTTTAAAGTAAGGTATAATGTGTTGGTTAATACGCGTTTCTTTTGTTCATTTTAATTGATGTTAATAGCTAGATATATATTATATCGGACGGCCATAAATCGTTGTATATTGCCACCAAAAAATACCAAAGCATACAGAATTTATTTAGCCAACAAATAATGATTAGGATTAGTTTAGGATATCAGAGTTATCAGGCACACTAAAAATTAGAATATCTAAAATTGCATTTCTTTAATATTTTAAAAAAGGAAAACAACCGGGAACTAATCAGAATCATATAACGTTGCGTGATGCCCATCCTGGACTAACACCAATATAGATAGAGCTGTTAAACTATTACCTTTCTTGCCCTCTACTACTACTATGTTCTCTCTCACATCAACCCTTCAGTTAGGTTTAGAGCTCCTGAGATAAATACATAATAAACATTGGAAAATGTAGTGATCCAAACAGCCTAAAATGGACTTTGGCTACCCTAATTCTGAGAATGTGCATATAACAGCAATGTGAAGGGGGAAGAAAAGACAATCAGGTTTGTTTTTGCCAAGCTAGTAAAATGAAAATTGTGCTTTTGTGAAAATAAAGCACAGATCTCCATAATGAATGTAGTATTGTGATAGTGATCCCCTTAAAAGTCTATACAATCTCTACATAACCCAGGATATTTTAAGATGCACATTCTAAGCAATTTTGGTCTGTGTGTGATATGTGTTGCCCCATTTGAGCCACTGTAATGCATGTAAATAATCATTCATCATAGTAACTGAAGCAGTGTTAGCAAGCATGAGGCCCTTTCTGTTCATACACACCGCATATTCCCATGTTTTTCAATTAGAGATCAATTCCTACCGTTTGTTCTTTTTTTTCTTTTTAAGTCCGATGCTGACACGGCTTGCTTTGACATCAGTCTAGCCAATTCCCGATATGTCCTACCAAATTTTAGGGATATTTTTAAAGACAATCTTGATTTTCCTTCCTCCATTTACATTAAACTATACAGGTCTAAATATAAATGAGAAAAAAAAAAAAACATCTATCAACAAAACACACACAACAGTACCAAAGCAAAGCAAAAGCTGGGAGCAGCAAAGCATGCAGCTTCACATATGGCTGCTAAATGCAGTAATGAATCAGCAAATATCCATCAGCCAAAGCCCATGCAAGAAAAATAAATCTATCTCAGAATATTGGCTTGCTGTTGTATGGGTCTACCTCTAATTAAATGCCTCAAAGTATATTTTCCCAATAAATAAACTAAGGTATGAATATACTTTACTGGCAGGTTGTCAGCAAAGAACTAGAACTGCTTTAAAATATAAGACCAACTAGAAGCTAGCAAGCATTAGCCTATAACCTTTTTTTTTCCACAAACTAGCTTTACTTAGATAAATCATTAAAATATATTTGTGTTGATATAACAGAGAACATGATTCAAATCTAAAATCATTTGCTGCAAAGTTTTGTATACAAGTACCTGTACAGAAACTGTCAAAGGAAATTAGTCATTGTTTCTCTAAATAGCAATGGCCTAAGAGTTGTGTAAGAAATCTACCCGGTAATGTAATATTTACAACACTTATAACTCTGAAGACACTCTAGTATAAGCTGGTAGGTACTGCAGCAAAACAACAACTACATTGGGAGCAGGTACGCCATTGTAAAGGTTTGATATTGAATCTCACAATTGAGAATACGATAAAAGTGAAACCATATGCAAGTGCTCTGTAACACACGTTGGTGCTAGCAAGACATGTCTATTATATTTCACTGCCTTCTCAGAGAGGTACACAGAGAAAAGACAAAACCAAAGCACTGAAATCATTAATTTCCAAATACAAACTGACAACTTTATGAGATACACTGCATACTTAAACTGGTTAATATCAACAGTGAATTAACTCATCACATGGCAACAACACATTAAGGCGTTTAGAGGAGGCAGATGCTATCTGCCTAAAAACAAGCCTAGCATCAGAATAAAGAACAAGCAATAACCAGACAATGAACATAGCATGACTGTGCCTTATCAGTTGGTATAAACATGTCAGATATAGACAGTTTACACTTAAAGCTATGTCTCAGATTCAGAGAGAAATGTATGAAAAGAAAGAAAGTACCTATTGTATGGATGTCTTGTTGTTCTAAGAGGAGAATGATCAGCCTGATTTTCAAATACCTCTATAACAAGCCAATATATGTGGAATACGATCTTTGAATCCAAAAGTTGTCTAACTTTCAAGCAGAACGGCAGGATTAAACTACATTGACTGCCTTGGAAGACCAATAATATGAATCACAACCTAAAATTTCCCTTCCGAATGGTTTTCGAACTCTTTTAGATTTGGTGGAACCGGACATTTTTATCATAGATGTCAAGGTTAGAAATTTGTACAAATGGCGTAATGCGGTTTTGCCAGTATGGACCCGGAATCCTGAGGAATGAACTGAGGGCACTCTGAAGCCAAACCAGGTAGAAGCAAGAGTCATCCACTTTTAACTGTCCAAAACAGATCCAATAGCCCATACCTTCATAATAATAATGTGTAATCCTCTTTACATAACAGGCTAGTTCCACATAAAGGGGAAAAATAAAGCAACTCCAAGAGTTTATAGAGCTATAAAAATCTGTGGCCGGCTAAAAGCAGAGCAGCAGCAGAGAAATGCAGCTTGTCTTTCTCTGTTGAGCTAATGACCTTTCTAACCCCAGCAGAGCTCCATTTCCTGTTGCAAACTGAGGGTATACCATAATTCTCTGGTATCACTTATGGGAACAGGAGAAAAGTCTCAGCAGCACTAATGGGAACCGGATGACACAGGCAGATTTGGGGGGTTTGGTGGCGCTGCAATTATCAGTCCTTATAAAAATGACATCCAGGACTACCTAAATGATGGCACTGGTGATATGATAAATATTGACACTATTTATATGAGACTGAGATGGTTGCATTAAAAGCCCGCAGTCAACTTAGAAAATAAAATATGTCTGAATCACCAACTAAAAAGGAAACATGAACAACATGTATTAAATACACAGGGTCAGGAAAAATGCAGATCCATATATATACATATATAAATATATAAACAGAGAGCAAGTTCAGGGGAATCAATAACATGCATCAATGCATCTGCAGTGTAGTAGACCCGAAGCTTCTAAAAGCTACAACACACTCAGTGTCTTAGTGAAAAACACCACCAGCACCACTGCAGTGTTTTCCTGATCACTAGTACTGCACCAAAGCAAAAGGCATCGTCTCTATCCCAATGTTATTAAAAGCCATTCTCTTATACTCTATTCTACACATTATATCACAGTTCCACACAACCAAACATGCATAAGCAAACATGTTTTTAAGCTTGTAAATAAATACACATACAAGGTAATAACTGATGATATTTAGTAACACACATCAAAACAATCTAACATGTTCATAAAGCTGGGGGGGGGGTTTAATTCATTGCTCGCCCTCCATTGCTCCATTTTGCCTCAGTTCTGGAAGAGTGGAGCAAATGGCCAACACTTTATGCTTCAAATCCATGCCTCTGTGCAGAGCTAATGGAAAAGCAGACCGACTGGTGGTGTGTTAGATCAGCTGCCAAATGAGCACCAGTGAGCCGTTTAAAATGGGTCCACATTTGGATGTTATTAGGTGCATTCCCTGGAGATCTGTAATCTTAATTACTGTCTGGGAAGTATCCCTGTAATGTAAGCAAATAACAACCCCACTACTTAATATGGGTAAACAATATGTAATCAGGACAAGCCATGCTAAATATAATATATTTTAAAAAATCAACTTAATATCAATATTACTCTCATCACAAACACAGGAATATAATGGTTTAGGTTTATCCCCAATGAATCACTGCCTCCTTCAGAACCTCCACAACATACCCAGCAAAAAAAGAAAAACATAAAATCTACAAAAAAAAAAAACACTACATTATTACATAACAATGAAACAGCATATTCGCATTTTAAAGTATTTGACACTATGAGTAAATAAATATCCTGCAAATTGACCTTTTTTCGTAACATACTGGATGAAACCATGGGAGCCAATGGAGTCAGTTTGTTGTTGTTAACATGTTAGCATTGCAGGGTTGGTAACCTGAGACTTACCTCCGTCTGAAGTCGAATTTAAACAGTCCTCAGGACATTAAACGTTTAGTCTATGCCGCAACATTTTCGATTGTTGCTGGATGCTCCCATTTGTCGCCGTCGGTTCAACATAAATTCCGGAGACATCCGCATAAATAAGCTGGTAGGGACCGTTGCAGCTAAACCCAGCTCACCAGAGTCGCTTGGTGCTAGCGCTAGCCTGTAGACCAACAAACAGACGTCCAGAGAAACGAAGACTAAAATATCCAAGAAAACTTGAGTTCGGCGCAGCTATTTCATCTTCACCACAAGCTAGGGACCTTTAGGGGTCCATTTGTAGAACTGAAGGCTTGTTCGGGTAAACGTAAAGCCTCAAAATAGTATATTTCTGATTCGCTTTAATCCTCTCCGCCAACCCATTCGAGCGGTTTTCAAGCTACCTTTGACTTCAGTGTGTAGACGCTCCAGACGGAAATGCATCCGGGATGAAAGGAGCGTTCTGATTGGCTCTCACGCTGTAGGCGGATACTCCTACTGCAATGGGAAACTGACGCCATTTTGGATCCGTAAAGGAAGCCGAGCCGAGTTAAAACTACAGAAGAACGGGGTTCCAACGTGGCTGAACTCAGCTCACAGTTTCAAACGCAAAACACCACACTCCATTATGTAGTTGGAGGCCTGAGAAAAGGAAATGGAGTTCAGGCATTGGGTAGGCTTGGTTTATAACTTAGTTAAAACTGCAATAGTTATATCTCATTTCCCAAAACCTATTATGAACTTTGCACTGCACACAGAAAGGCGGTTAAAATATTGCCAAACACTAAATGTATTTCAATACATCGTATCAATAGTAAAAAACAGCAACGTCTGTGAATAGTTACATGAAGGCTATCTCGGATAGTTACACAATAAACGTGTCTAAAACGCAACAACGACGAATTGTTGTAAATACAATTTTTGTGTAATAAAATTTGTTTTACGATGACTAGGTATGGGATTAATGTTCAAAATGATAGTCGGAAATAAGCTCTTACGGTGAATCTAAAATTTAAGCTATACATGCTTGTGTCGTTGAGCTTAAGGCGGGACATCAAGGTGTTTAAATCAGATACACCCCTGGTCAAAATAAACTGCAAAGTTATGAAACGAGCGTTCTCATTGGTCGAAAGAAAAAAAATCCCTCAAACCGCTCAAACTGACCTGTACACATACTGAAAGCAATGTGTTATGTATTTACTGACAGATAGCACACAAACTTATATAAAATGTATTTATCTTCAAGAATAAATCTCAACGTAGTACTTGGACACACACACACATATATATATAAATATTTAATATTATTTGTAAATAATTATTTATATTATACGTCTAGTCAAAGCACTGATAGTAATATATATATATATTAATTTTTTCATATTTTTTTTTTACAAAAAGTTCACAGATATATTTCAGTTAAACTTCTAATCGTCATCATGTCAGCTTTAAACAATGGTGCCCTCTGCTGGAAGACGGGCACACTGTAACCTTAAGATGAAAAAGTAAATTCAACTTGTTGAGAATTTATCGTACTGTCTAATATCTTATTATAACACTGAAATTTAAGTAAAATGCTTCTTTAACAAGAGATTGTTATTCCAAGGAAGTTATTATTATAAACTATATTCTTGTCAGTATAGTTTATAAACATTCTAAACTTTCTTTAGACACCAAATGTTCTTTTGTTCGTTTGTTTTAAATGTATGATTTTCTGCTAAAGAGTAACCTTAATTATTCATAGCAAAGTTTTAGGTTGTCAGGAATTTATAATAATAGTTACAAAAGGTATACAGATTATAAAAGGTGTTTATCAGCTAATTAAACAATTAAATTTAATTAAATTTATCTATATAGCGCCAATTATTTATATAGCGCCACAACACATGTAATCTCAAGGCACTTTTCAGGGAAAAAAGTCAGATTGGATAAAAGTTTCGGACAAAGAAAACCAGTTGATTGCGTCGAGTCATTGCATTTTACATACTAAGTGGTTTTGCTATATATTCGTTTGCCGTCTATATAATTCAAGTACTTTAATACAGATCAAATATCTCCACTGGTCATTAGAATGACTGCCTGAAGACATTTAATTACATATTTAGGTTTGAAATAACAAAAAATCAGTACATTTTAACTTATTGTAGCTCGTCTGGTGGAATAGCTGTAGTAACTATTGTAATGATGCCAGTTACGCCGAGCTATTGCCGTCAACAGGTTTATTAAGCAAAACGAGCTGTTATTTCTGAGGCCACAGCTCACGCCCCTCACAACATGGCTAGCATATACACCAACAACGATAGCTCTCTAGTTAGCCTTCTCAACCCGCTTAACACTTCCGGTCTTGGAACCGCTGCTCTCCCAGCTCCCCCCCCACGCGAACCAACAGGCCTATCGCATGAGAGCAGGAGCCAGCAGAGTCAGGCAAAGGAAACACATAAGGAAGGGAACAGAAAACACATAACCATATGGACCCCAATAAAACAAAACACAGAATCATTACACTACCCCCCCACTACAGAGTTCCTCGCCCACGAGGGAACAAACAAAATCATCGAACCGTCTTGGGGCCCTTCTAGCCCGCCGTAGGCGGCCCCCCCTGCGATGTTTCAGACTGCACCGCAGGGACGTCACTCGGCAGCAGCTGTGTGGCTTCTTTGGAGGCTGGTGGCGATACTGCCACCCCCAACTGATGGTTTCCCAGGGCCTGTGGAGCAGCCCCGCTTCGGTAGGGGGCCAGTCTGTCTCTGTGCAGCGCTAGTTTCCTCCTGTTCAGGGACATCTGCACCCTGTAGACGACCTCCCCCATACGCTCCAACACCCGGCAGGGACCAACCCACTTACTGTCCAACTTTGGGCAGCGGCCCTTCTTCCTCTGGGGGTTGTAAACCCAGACCAGTTCCCCTGGGGTAAAGTGTCGGCCCTTTGCCCTCACATCATAGTTCCTTTTTTGACGCACACCAGCTTCCTCCTGCTGCCTCCGAGCGAACGCGTGTGCCGTCTCCAACCTGTCCTGGATCTTTCTAGCATACTCAGGACAAGCTGGAGCAGCAGGCGCATCCGGGGGGCGCCCGAAAGATAGGTCAGCTGGCGTGCGCAGCTCCCTCCCCAACATGAGGAGCGATGGTGTGCAGGCTGTGGAGTCCTGCACAGCTGAGCGGCATGCCATCAGCACCAGTGGGAGGTGCTCGTCCCAGTCCCGCTGATGCTCCGCTGTGAGAATGGCCAGCTGCTGTCCCAAGGTGCGGTGGAGTCTTTCCACCAGGCCGTCACTCTGGGGACGTAGTGGTGTTGTCCTTGTTTTCTGAATGCCAAGACGGCTGCACATGACAGAAAACACCCGTGACTCAAAATTTCTGCCCTGGTCACTGTGAATAATGTCCGGTACCCCAAACCTGCTAATCAACCCTCCTACCAAGGCATCTGCCACTGTCTCTGCTTCCTGGTCGGGGATGGCATAGGCCTCTGGCCATTTTGTAAAATAGTCAATAGCCGACAGAACATAGCGGTTTCCTTTGTCAGAGCGTGGTAGTGGGCCCATGACATCCACCGCCACCCTCTCCATAGGGGCCCCTACTACGAACTGTTGCAGCTGGGCATGTGACTGGCCTGGAGGTCCCTTCCGGGCTGTGCAGGGGTCACAGTGACGACAGAAGTCCTCTACATCCCTCCTGCACCGACCCCAGTAAAAACCCTGCCGGAGGCGGCGGAGAGTCTTTGTGACCCCAAAATGTCCAGACCCTGCGGTTCCGTGCATCGCTTGCAGGACAACCTCCTGCAGGCCTTTGGGGACTACGATCTGCCATCTCTCCTCTCCTGTGGCAGGCTCCTTCCATGCCCTCTGCAGCACCCCCTCCTCCAGGCGCAGCACCTCAAACTTGGACCACAGGCCTTTGGTTGCTAGCGAAAGCCCGGCAACCTCCTCCCATGGCGGCTTTAGCTGTCTCTCCAACCACTGCACCACGGGCTGGATGTCGGGATCCTGGTCCTGCTGCTGCCTCCAGGTATCGGTGTCCACAGCCTGCAGCTCTCTGCAGGAAACCAAGCCACTCTGACATGATACTGGCTGGCTCAGGTTCAGCTGCTCCTCCTCCAACCTCTCCCTCCGGTCACAGTAACTGCATCCCTCCATAGCGCAGGGCCGCCTGGAGAGAGCGTCAGCATTAGCATGCTTAGTTCCAGCCCTATGGACAACCGTAAAATTGAAGGTTTGCAGCTCTTCCAGCCACCGGGCCACTTGGCCTTCGGGTTCTTTAAAGGACATCAGCCACTGGAGAGCAGAGTGATCGGTCCTTAAAGTGAAAGGCAGGCCGCAGAGGTAGTACTTAAAATGCCGCAGCGAAAGTATCACCGCCAGCAGCTCCCGCCTTGTAACACAGTAACGTTTTTCTGCCTTGTTAAAGGCCCTGCTGAAGTAACCCACCACTCTTTCTCCTTCGGGGCTCACCTGGGCAAGGACGCCCCCGACCCCCAATCCACTTGCATCGGTGTCGAGAATGAAGGGGGGGGTGGGGTCAGCTGGAGCAAGTACTGGGGCTCCAGTCAGAGCCTGCCGCAGGCAGTCGAATGCCCCCTGGCACTGTTCTGTCCACGCATACTCCTGGTTCTTCTGGAGGAGTTGGAAAAGTGGGGCTGCTATGCTTGCAAATCCTCGCACGAACCTCCTGTAATAAGAGGCTAACCCCAGGAAACTCTTAAGATCCCTCTGCGTAGTGGGAATGGGCCAATCTGTCACCATCTTCACTTTCTCCACCATGGTGCTGATGCCCTCTCTCCCAATCTGGTGGCCCAGAAATGTCACCTCCTGCTGCATGAAATTACATTTATCTGGGTTGAGCTTCAGGCCTGTGGCTCTAATTCTTTCCAGCACCCGACGAAGAGAGCCCAAGGCTGCTGCAAAAGAGGTGCCGTGGACCAGTATATCATCCAGATATACTAGACATTCTTGGCGGGGAATGTCAGCCAACACCCGGTCCATCAACCTGGAAAAGGTGGCTGGTGCATTACACAGTCCGAATGAGAGGACTTTGAACTGCCAGAGTCCCCGCCCTGTACAAAAAGCAGTCTTTGGTCGGGCACCCTCTGAGAGGGGAACCTGATAATAGCCGCTGCGGAGATCCAGGGAGGAAAACCAGCTGGAACCAGACACCAGATCCAGCGACTCGTCCACCCTAGGCAACGGGTACGAGTCTTTTTTTGTCACCCCGTTCAGCGGCCTGTAGTCCACACAAAGGCGCCACTCCCCATTCTTTTTGGGCACCATGACTACAGCCGCTGCCCAGGGGCTCTCAGACGGCTCAATAATGCCCGTTTGCAACAAACTTAACACGGCCTTGTCACATGCGTCTTGCCGGGCCAGGGGGAGACGACGGGGCCGACATTTAATTGGTGGGGCGTCCCCCGTCAAGATGTCATGCTCCACTA